CTTCCTCTACCGCCACCGAAACCCACTCTGCCGCCAGATCTAATAAAAATAAACAAGCCGCCCAAAATCATCGCCCTACAACCACGACCACCACCAACATCATCATCAATTCTCTGAACGCCAACAGCACCTCCACCTCGCTGCCGTCGCCACCACGACCTGCTACCACCAACATCTCATCATCACCACTACCACGACCCCTCACCGTCAGCCACCATTCCAACACCACTGCTACCTGCGCACCCACCAGATCAACCACCCAGCCACCGGTCATCGCACTCAACCACAACATCGAACAGACCACTCATTGCACAAAAAACATATCTGTAGCCCCAAATCATCGCCACCACCATCGCCGCCACACACCAACACCACAGATCCACGATCTGCAACGCAAACCACCACCATGTTAACAGAAAACAATCACCAAAACAATGAAAAACAAACCACCAGATCGCGTTACCCATGCCATCCCGACACCACCACCAGCCCTATATCACTACGACACCACAACCACAATCTCCAAAAAAATCCCCAAAGTCGCGGCTATATGCACCTCCAAAAATACCACCACCTCGCCAAATTACTGCACGACAACCAAAAAACACCACCAACGACAAAAAAACCACCTGCAACCACCACGATCTGAGAACAGCAGTCAAGCACAACGTCCATTTATCGACCAGATCTGTGGCTGGAGTTTTGATTCTGCTCCCCAAATCCGGTCTACAGCATCCAAAACCACGCTTTGCAATGGCGAGCGCCTCGCAAAAGCCATGATCGATTTGCAATGGCGAGCGCATCGCCTTCTAGAACTACCGGAGAGAGAGATGTGAGAGAGAGCGAGTATCAGGGGTAGAGAGAGAGGTGGGGGCAGGGTTTGAAATTATTGTTTATTAGATTAATTTTTAAATATATTAATTAATTAAAAAAATTTCTGATTTGTGAAATATTAAATATGGCGTTTTATTTTTGAAATGGGGATTTTTAATCTATTAGAATCTGTAATTTCCACTTTGATTTTTACTATTTAAACTTACTTTTGCTATATAGCCCCTGTTTGGCCCCCATTTTGTGGTAATGAAAATGGGTGGAATAGTATTTTTTTGAAAAATAAATGGTTGAAAAAGAAAGAAAAATTTTCGATACGTGTAATATTATTTTATGAAAGATTGTGTGATTAAAAATAAGAGAGAGGAAAATGAAATAAAAATTAATAGGGGCTGAACAGGGCATAATTTCATTAGTCGATGATTGAATAAAACTTTTGGTGGCTTGTGGCGAATTCTCTCTTCCTACTTTCTTCTATCTCTTCTATTGATTCTTCTATTGTTCTTCCTATAATCTCTTCTTCTCTGACCTATTTTCTTTCTTCACTAATTGTGTCATTTTATCCTGCATCAAATTTGGTATCAGAGTCAAAACTTGGATAAATTTTCATCTACAATCCAAAATTTCCTTCTTGCCTTCTACCCAAAATTTGTTGGAATGGCACAAGTGAAAATGATTTAGCGTAAGGGCAACAGTTTTCATTCATTCAATTTTGTTCTTAAAAAAAAAAGGAGTTACTGTTTACCCGAAGGGGGGAAATCAGTTTTACTATTTTTCATCATTTTCTGCCAAAATAAAAAAAAAATTCAATTTTAGTATTTTAGGTGTTTGCTGCTGCTGTTAAGTGCTGTATCACAGATTTTCAATCATAACAATCAAACCCTACTTACAATCCATATACCCACAGATAAGTATTACCCACAAGCCCATGGCCATTAACCATTCCAGCCCATTATACATAATATAACCTAAACTATCTAGCCCAGGAGCCCAATCTTAAACTATTTAGCACATAAAGACAAACTAAAACCAGCCCAACTCTTCCAACTACTCTAAGCCCATCACACACTTCATTGCACGTTCAACCCATCTCAATACTCTATCTACAGTCCAATTCCACACCGCTTCTAGAAGTCGGTCTTCCACACCGTCGTCCCCCAGTCGCATCGCTCGCCAACGCCACCCATCTCGGCAACCTTCAAATCTCTGAAATCCCTCCCAATCAGACCCGACCCTCCAGAAACTCGAATTTCGGTCTCTCGCCTCCACTGTCGCCACCAACCACAAGCCACCGCAACCAACCCCACCCCTACTCGTTACAACTGTTGGTCTCTTTCATAACGCAGAAGCCCATCATCACTACCGCCACAAACTCCCACCAATCACCCAACTCAACTGGCAATATTCAATTTCAAGAATCAGCTGTTCAAACGAATTCTGAGAAGTCGAAGGCAATTGGCTAATATTTGTACCTCCTATCACAACAGAACCAGAGCCAAGACAGTATAAATAGCGATCCAACATGAGTGAGTTCTAAAGTGGAAGGCAACTGAAACAAGGAATAGATCTAAAGCATACCTAGGGTCCCATGTGTTGGCAATTCAGACCAATCTGAATACTGAGAGTCACAACCGAACTACGGGGAGTCACTGTTCTTATCTATCTTTGTTTATACTGTTGCTTCATTTTAAAACGCATCAATTACATTATTTGTGTTGCTGTTATTTGATACTTGTAACCTTAATATCCATTTGATTAGAATTCGTGAATTAACACCCATTGTTCTCCGATTATCCCATGTGATTAGACCTTTCGAATAGTCATTTGTATCCTTGCTTTCTATTTTATTTGAATCAGTATTATTAGCTTGCCACTTCGAGCCTACGTAATCCCATCTTTTAAGTAACTAAATAATAATAATAATAATAATAATAATAATAATAATAATAAGATAAAATAAAATGAAATTGCTATTTCACTGGTGGTACCCGTTGTTTATTAATCTCATTAGTGCACTTTACTGCGCTAGTTTTCCTTTTTATGCAATTGCATAGTGGTCACGTTACTATCTTTAGTGTTAGTACCCTTGCCATAGACCCATCTCAAATTGAAGCTCTTACTCGATAGTTGGCACAACTTGCCAATGGGCAATAACAATTACAAAATCAATTTGTGGCTGTCCAAACTGAGGTAGTTGCTACTCGTGAGTAGAATAGAGCCCTAGCCACTAGGTTGAACACCTTGGGTTCAACCCCATATTTGACTGAAGCTGAAAACTCTGAAGTGTCCATTAATAGACCTCATCGTCGTCCACAGGGTGGTTGACACGACGCTAGAAATGATCGTTGGGATGGAAATCAGGGTAGTGATCGAGAGCGGGAACATCGCTATCATGGTACACAGTCTTCCCCTTGCCACGAGAAGCGTCTCTTTCGAAATATTAAGTTAGATGCCCCCACATTTGATGGTTGTCTAGACCCTAGTGTATTCAATCAATGGATTAGAGATATGGATCACTTTTTTGCCTAGTATGGGGTCTTGGAAGATCAGAGAGTTCAATTTGCCAGTTTGAAATTAACTGGCACAACTAAACTGTTTTGGGAAAGTGTTAAGGATCTCTTGGAGAGACATCATGCTCCCCCTGTTGGGAGTTGGGATGAAATGAAATGCCGCCTACAGGATAAGTACTTACCCCAATCTTACAGAGGTAACTTGTTGGATCAATAAAATGCACTTACGCAAGGCAATCCACCTATGATTGAGTATGTCGCTCAGTTTGATGAGCTCCGAATAAGATGTTAGGTCATTGAGGATGAGGTCATGACCTTGAGTAGGTTTAGGCTAGGTCTAAGGGATGATCTTAGACGTGAGCTTGTCCTTAGAGGTGTCACCACTCTTGATCACGCTCGTTCTTTCGTTCGGGATTACGAGTTAGTGACTAGGATGCTGTATAGAACTCGTAGTGACACCAGCACTGTAACCTCTTCTGCATCCACTCCATCCCCTAAGTCTATTCTAGGGCCTCATTCTTCTAATGCTACCCCTACTTCGGATAGTAAAGGTAAGGGTTCTAAGGTTTCAAGAGCGTCTTCTTGTTGCAATGCTTCAACTGTAAGGGTTTTGGTCACGTTTCTTCTACGTGTCCTAGCCGAGCCCTAGTTATAGAAAAACATGAAGGTATAGTTGACGAGCCATTAAAGGACTAGGTTTATGAACCTAAGCTAGAAGAGTTTGATGACTTGGAGGATAGTGAAGATACCTTCTTAGGTTGTATTCAGACCAGTCCCTTTATCCTAAATATGCCTAGAGTCGATGTTGTTCGTTGCACTCTTACCCTGCCCAAGGATGCTGATGATTGGCGTCGTCATGCCATCTTCCACACTTACATAAAGATCAATAATAAGGGCTGTAAAGTTTTTGCGGATAGTGGCAGCTGCACTAATACGATTTCAATGGCTACTGTATCCCGTTTGGGGTTGAAGCCAGTTCCTCACCCTCAGCTGTATAGTGTCTCCTGGGATGATACATTTTCTATAGCTGTCAAGGAGCGTTGTCTAGTCCCTATCCAGTTCCTCGAGTATAAGGACCATATATGGTGTGATGTCATTTCGATGGATGTCGAGCACATCATTCTGGGACGACCTTGGTTATTTGACCTAGATGTAACCATGTTTGGTTGATCCAATTCTTACTCTTTCGTGTTTAATGGAAAGAAAATTCACCTTAACCCATTGCCCCCAAAACCTATTAGCTCACACGAAACAAAGAAAAGTGTGGAACGAAAATGGTTGCATATCATTAGCCCTACGGAGTTTGAACTTTCACTTGTTGGTGACTCGGTGGTGTTCGCGGTTGTCGTTATGGAGGTTCCATTGAACTCTACAATGGAGAACCCTACTGAAGTTAAGTTGTTCCTTTAAGAGTTTCGGGATGTCTTCTTGGAAGACTTACCTGACCAATTACCTCCTGTACGGGACATTCAGCATGCCATAGATTTCGTCCCGGGAGCATCTCTTCTAAATTTGCCTCATTACAGGATGAATCCTACCGAGCACGCTGAACTCCAGAGGCAAGTAGATGAACTGCTTCACAAATGATTCATTCGTGAGAGTCTAAGCCCGTGTGCAGTCTCTGCCCTATTGACGCCTAAAAAGGATGGTTCTTGGAGAATGTGTGTGGATAGTCGTGCTATTAATAGGATCAAGGTGAAGTATAGTTTTCCCATTCCTAGACTTGACAATATGCTAGATATGATGGTTGGTGCTATAATATTTTTGAAGATTGATCTAAAGAGTGGATATCATCAGATTAGAATCCGTCCCGGTGATGAGTGGAAGACCGCATTTAAAACGAAAGATGGTCTTTATGAATGACTGGTCATGCCTTTTGGGCTAAGCAACGCGCCGAGTACCTTTTATGTGAGTAATGACACAAACTCTTCGACCTTTTATGGGTAAGTTTCTCATTGTCTACTTTGATGATATTCTCATCTATAATAAGACTAGGGAACAACACCGTGCCCATCTCACACAAGTTTGTTTTATCCTACATGCAACTAATCTGTATGCTAACATCAAGAAGTGCTCTATCTTCATTGATAAAGTCGTTTTTCTAGTATTCATTGTCTCTTCAATAGGGGTATCTGCTGACCCTGGTAAGATTCAGTCGATTCTTGACTGGCCTGAACCTAAGACTGTTCATGACGTCAGGAACTTTCACGGCTTGGTTACATTTTACCGTCACTTTATTAAGGGGTTTAGCAACATTATGGTGCCTATCATGGAGTGCATAAAGAACGAGAGTTTCATTGGACACAATAGGCGGCTAAGGCCTTTAAGTTGGTCAAGAAGCGAATGACAGAGGCTCCTGTCACGTGCCTTTCGGATTTTTTCAATATCTTTGAGGTCGAGTGTGATGCTTCTAGGGTAGGAATAGGCGGAGTCTTGAGTCAGGATCGTCACCCTGTTGCGTACTTCAGCGAGAAGTTAAGTGATGCCAAATAACAATACTCAACTTTTGATAAGGAAATGTATGCGGTTGTCCAAGCTTTGAGCTATTGGCGCCACTATTTGCTGTCCCAGGAGTTTGTTCTTTATTTGGACCATGAGACCCTCCATTACCTCAACTCCCAAAAAAGATTGAGCTCTAGGCATGGTCGTTGAATTGAATATTTGTAGACCTATTCTTTTATTTTGAAACACAAGAAGGGTGTGGAGAACCAAGTGGTTGATGCTTTAAGTCGTCGTGTCTCCCTTTTGTCGATCATGAGTGTTAAGGTCATCGGCTTTGAAAGGCTTAAGGAGGATTACGAGTCGTGTCCTAATTTTAAGGATATCTTTCTTGATTTACAAGGTGGACAGTCGGATACCACAGATGGCTTCCGACTTGAGGAGTGTTACCTTTTTAGAGTCAATAAATTGTGCATCCCTCGAACTTCAGTGCGGGATTTCATAGTGTGAGAAATTCATGCGAGAGGTTTAGTCGGTCACTTTGGGCGTGATAAGACCGTGTCGTTGTTTTGCCCTAGAACGTGCTTATGAGTTTTGACACCCTCAACCTAGGAAGATGGTGATCACTTTACCCTTAAGCCTATAGAAAGTGTTGAACATGAGGAAGAGAAATCTGGGCTTTACAAGGATGAGGAAGAAGTTGTCTGTCAGTCTCACAGATTTAAGCTACTGGCCTAAGAAAAAATCAATGTATTTTGAAACGCAGCTGAAAATCAAAGAAAACTAACAAAGAAAAATGGCAGAACACTAGAAATACTTAGGAATTTGTACCAGCAATTTTCGTGCCCCCATAGTATACATTTGTTGCATCAACATCAGGATAAATACCCTCTCCGAAGACATTTTTGCACAGATCTAAATGGTATCTGCCAATCATAAGTAGTGAACTTTTAATTCAAGGTTCTTTTTGAACTACAAAAAGAACACTAACTAGTAAAGAAATGCTACATGAAACCAAGGAAACAATTAAAACAGAATGAAAACATTAGCATATTGTACCTTGTATCGACCCTTGGAGAGCGAATACTATCATTTGAAGGTGCAACCTGAAAATATGCAACTTCAGTGCAGACTTGGAACCACCATAAGCGATCACCACTGTTAACATTTAAAGCAGTTTTCTTCAGATTTTGTTGGTTATATGTTGCCACATCATCACCATAATTCTCCCTCACATATGTGGCATATGCTTTCTGCAGATAAGATTTTTCCTAAGCATTAGAAACACAGATAATAATGAAATTCTTGACTTTGAGAAATTGAACTTGCATTCTTCAACAAGATTATTCAAGACGGACCTTTTATTCACCTCGTGGCCCAAAAAAAAAATGGAGACGGTCACCATTTGTTTCCTTTATTTAGGAGATTTAATCAGGTTTCCTTTTCTTTATATAGGATAGGTGTAGAAAACCAAATATGGAAAGACACTGAATATTATGATTGATAGGATTGTTATAGGATTATTAGTTAGATGATTTATTTCCTTATTTAACAGATTGGAGTCTTCCTTTTTTATTCCATTCTTTGTAATATAAATAGGTCGTATTGGATGTGTAATATTCATAGAAAATAAAAGAAGTTTTATTCTTCATGGTATCAGAGCCTAGGTTGTCCTAACCTAGCACACCAATGGCTGAATTTCCCGTCAACAGTCAAGAATCAATGACCTCTGAAACTTCTCGTCCTGAAGAAGAGGCCAACCCTTCCATTGGATCCAATAATCTCGAAAATTCCTCATTCCAACTCACAGTAGAAAAACTAAACGGGAGAAATTTTCGAGAATGGGCCCAATCTATAAAATTGGTCATCGACGGGAAAGGGAAATTGGGCTATCTTACCGGTGAAACAAAAAGACCGACCGATGTTGTGAGTCTGCAGAAGTGGAAATCCGTGAATTCAATGGTGATAGCGTGGTTCATAAATTCCATGAAGCCTTCTATAGGGAAGACTTACCTGTTCCTTCCAACAGCCAAAGATGTGTGGGATGCCGTGAAGGAAACATCCTCCGACGCCGAGGACGCATCACAGATCTTCGAACTTAAAACCCGTTTGTGGCAAACTAAGCAAGGGTCGAGAGATGTTACTGAATACTACATGGAGATGGTATCCCTATGGCAGGCACTCGACCTTAGCTTGAAGGAAGAATGGGAGTGTTCAAATGACAGTGCATGGTACAAGAAAAAAGTCAAGAATGAAAGAGTGTTTGAGTTCCTAGCTGGGCTGAATCGAGAACTCGACGATGTCAGAGGTAAGGTTCTAGGCCAGCGACCACTACCTTCCACTCGCGAGGTATTCGCAGAGGTCCGGCGAGAAGAATCACGGCGGCAGGTCACGTTGAAGGAAATTTCTGGACTGAATAATGAAGCATCGGCCTTGAAATCATAGCTTGGGCCACCATTTTTTAAAGAAAATGGGCCAGCTAATCTTGGCCCTGGAACAGGAGGATTAAAAAGAACTGGGCCAGCATTCTTTGGGCTTGGAAATGAAATAAAAGGTGGACCAGAAAGCGAAACAAATTTTGGACTAGCAATTAAAAATGGACAAAGAGCATTGGGCTTGTCATCTAAGGGGATAGCCGGGCGACCTAACCAAAAACAGCAGCGAGGACGGCCATGGTATGAACATTGTCGCAAACTGGGGCACAAAGAAGACACTTGTTGGGATATTCACGGGAAACCAGTAGACTGGAAACCAAAGCAGAACACAAGGGGCCGAGGATACCAAGCCGAGACAAACATTAATCCCACTCCAAGCGGGACATTTAATTCAGAACAACTGGAGCAACTCTACCAAATTTTTTCCAGTCTCCAGACATCCGGTCAATCTTCCTCAAAAGGTTCATCTAGTTCTTTAGCTCACAAAGGTAACTTTTTGAAAGCCTTAAATACTTCATGACACAAAACCCCTTGGATTATTGATTCGGGTGCGTTCGATTATATGACGGACTCATATCACTTATTCTCTTCATACTCCACCGTCTAGAAACATTAAAGTAAAAATTGTAGACGGCTCACTCTCATCGGTTGCAGGAAAAGGGAGTATTAAAATCTCTGAATCTTTAACACTAGAATTAGTCCTTCATGTCCCAAATTTGTCCTATAACTTATTATCTGTTAGTCAACTTACAAAAAATTCCAATTGCTCAGCTAAATTTTTCTCATCATATTGTGTCTTTCAGGACCTTTCATCGAGAAAGACGATTGACAATGCTAAAGAGTGTGAAGGACTTTACTACTTCGAAGAAGCTGATATGAGTAAGCTAGGTCAATTTTCAAGTTGTAATTGAACGTCTATTTCTAGGGATAGTGAAATTCTGTTATGGCACTATAGAATGGGTCATCCTAGTCTACAATACTTGAAGCATGTACTTCGTTCTCTTTTATTGAATAAAACATCATTTGAGCTTCAATGTGAAAGTTGTGAATTTGTAAAGCATCAACGAACAAATTTTCCAAATTCCACATACAAACCATCTAAGCCATTTGCCATAATTCACAGTGACTTATGGGGACCTTCTCGTGATCCCAATCGTACCCACACAAAATGGTTTGTCACATTTATTGATGACCACACTCGAATATTTTGGGTCTATCTACTAAAAGAAAAATCTAATGTTCGCACAGTATTCATAAATTTCCACTCTATGATTCAAACTCAATTTCAAACACAACTTCAAATTCTACGTACTGACAATGGCACAAAATATTTCAATACCACTTTGCAAGACTACCTGAAAAGACATGGAATAGTCCATCAAAGCTCATGTGGCAACACTCCCCAACAAAATGGGATTGTTGAAGGAAAAAAAAGACACATACTTGAAGTTGCTCGTACTTTAATGTTCACTACAAACATGCCAAAAACATTCTAGGGAGATGACATTCTAACATCTACATATCTCATCAATCGAATGCCTAGTCGTACTCTCTCTTTCAACTCACCTATACAAAAATTTCAAAAGTACTATCCTACTTCTCGCCTCAGTTCAAACCTA